GGGCCCCCCGCAGAGCCGAGACGCGCTGTCACGCCGCGCCACCAGGCACCCGACAACCCCGAGCTCCGCAGGAAGGACGAAACGGGGCGGTCTGTCCTCGCCCGCTCCCAGTGCTGCTGGTCTGTTTGCATCGGGAGACGGCACGGGGCCCGCAGCGTGCCCAGGACGCTGGTCCTAACCACGCACCCGTCAGCTCACACACTGAGCACAAGCAAAAGCACAAAACCACCCATCACTGCCGTGAGCAAGTACTGACACACGACCCGAGCTCAGCACCTGCAGAAGCAGAGATGCCCCCACAGCTGGGGACAGAAGGAGCCACCCCTTACCTGTACTGGACACGCCAGCAACGTTGCTGGGTTCGCTGATGAGATCCTGCATGACCGCCAGGACCCGGAACTCGTACCAGGTGTCCTGAAACACCAAGCGCATCCGTCAGGTCCCCCACCGCAGCCTCCAGCCTTGCCCAGCTCCTTGAAGTGCCAAGCACGGGGACCGAGCCACCCTCCAACTTCCCCAGCGCTGCAGCAGACAACACCAGAGGTATGGTGTGGGCAGCCCCTGCTTACCTGGGACAAGTCCTTGGCAAAAAACTCGTTGTCGGTCCCCGGGATGCCATCATCCAAGACCTCCCACCTCTCCGCAACGCGGAACTCCATGATGTAGCGGTCGATGGGGAAGCTGTGGTTAGCGGGAGGAAGCCACGACAAGAGGACTCCTTGCTGTGTCCGGTTGGCTGTTAGGCACCTCGGTGGGGTAACCAACACCAGAGGCTCTGGAGTTGTTACAGGGAATGCTGGAGACAGAGCAGACGGGACAGGGACACCTTTGAGATAGGAAGCACAGAGGACGCTCTCCCACATGTGCCCCATCGGTGGCCTCATGCATCCAGCAAAGTCTACAAGCTTCATCCAGGACCCTCCAGGAACCATCTTCTATGCAGCTGGAAACTAAAGCTGCTGATCACCACCTCTGTCCCCAGCAGACAGGGCACAAAGATGAAGGCAAAGGGCAACGTCTCCCCACAGATCTCCCGAAACCCCACTCTCTCTTCCGCTTGTGCCCACGGAGGACCTACCTAGAGTGTTCACAGTGACCACCTCACTGAAGGAGCTGGTGCCCAGCTTGTTTTGAGCCAAGACACTGAACTGGTATGCAGTCTCCGGTTCCAAGGTATCCACCAGTAGCCAACTGGACCCAGCTGGCACAGGGAGAGACAGCCAGTTGTGGGGGCCAAACTGGGCTCTCTTCATCCTGCCGAGAGAAAAAGGAGCATCCTCAGAGAAGGTGCCGTTGACAGGGAGGACCAAAGAGGCAGCAATAACTTCTCGAGTGAAAACGGAGTTTTCCCGAGCGATGGTGTGGTTTGACAGCCGCGATGTGTATGGAACTGGGGCAGCC